AGGAAGAGGATAGTAGATTCATTTCTGCCAGTTGATGTAGATCTTCTCAAAGCTTAGGAACCTAGTTCTGGATCTAGCAAGGATCCTCTGAAGAGCCAGAATCTGGTTTTTGATCTTAGAGCTCCTCCTAATGGCAAAGCTTTTGAATCACTATCTTGGCTTGAGTTGAGTTGAGGCTCTTCAGCTTGAATGGATCAAATAGACGTTCAGATCAACAAAGGGTGTCCTCTCTTGGGAGATGCAGCAAAAATATCTGTGGTTTCCGGAGTCTGAATGGCAGTTTACCACAAGTAAGAAGTATGGTGAGATAGACGCAACCCTCACACACAAATAGTTTCCTGTTGCCTGAAGCTGGTCGAGATACTTGCTGATATCTTGGTTTGCGTGTATGCTCACATTGAAAGTGATCACATGACTTTCTCTTTCATGTGCCTGTCCCTGGAGATCAGCAGGTTGGACCAACTGATCACTTAACCCAGCCCTCTGCATTTCAACAGGAACCGTGTCCTAGTTTGAACCCAAGCCAAGAATTCCATAGGAAGAACATTGAATCTAACGTACATCCACAGATGAAAGAGGAGGACTCGTCATGCAAATGTGTTGTCCAAGCTCACATCTGAATCCCAAATTCTTCCAGTTTAATTCCATCATGGATCAGAGCTGGAGAACATCTTCAGACCTTAAGTTGAATCCATCAGCCAGCTGGCTGTCTCTTACCAGCTGTTGTAGATGAATTCCCCAAGGAGTAAGGGTAGGGTTTTATTCTTTTTGCTCCATAATGTGTAACACAGTGGTATTCTGACCCTGTTGAAGCTAGGCAGTAATACATGCCTTCATCAGCTGCTTGGACTTCAGAGATGGTTAGATAACAGGCGTTAAGGCTGGCATCTTTGGAAGCAGCAAATCTCTCTGAGACACCAGTTTTTCTTCTTTGATTGGGTCCATCTTTATAATACAAAAGATATTTGGGAGGGCTTGGCTGTTGATGCTGAAACCAACTTATGGTGTAAGTTGCCATGGTGCCATTGGAAAGGGTGCAAGAGATCTGAGTGGCACTTCCTAGGGACGCTGACACGGAGACGGGCTGGAGGAATGAGATTGCTGAATCTCCTGTGGTTGTAAGACACAAGCACACCGCATAGATTAGGATAGGATGTTCCTTTCTGCAGATTCTCGAGATGATGTTATGGACCAGGAGTCCTGGAATCCATCTTTTGTAACTTGGTTGGACCAGAGACAGCAAGTTGCCCTTTGGTCTTTTTGAGACCAAAGCTAGCCTGTTTCTTGGACCAGCTCCCTCAATATTCTCCGAACGGCCACTCCGAACTCTTCTGTGACATCTATTTTGAGTCCCTCTTCAAAACTCACTTTTCCTAGCTGACATTTGGATCATCGCCAGATATTTTATGATTACGGCTCAGTCGAGCCCAGATGGCAGAAATAATGGTACTAGCTGCTCTTGTTGAAGACCAGAAATGACCTTGGAGATGGTCTGCAAAAACCCAACCATGGCTGAAGCCCTAGAAACATGGACAACGTTAAGACACTCAAACTGGGTTCACACTAATACCCCAGCAAGACAAAACTGTCAGCCTTTCAAGATTTTGTCAACCTCTATCAACAAAGTAGAGTTTGTCAAATTCGTGGATTCTCTGTTCTCATCTGGCTTGCTTTGAAGGACAGACAGGTCCCTTCTCCCACCCACCACATTTTTATTCTCTTTTCCGTCCTTCCCGTAGCTTGTTTCTTCTTTATGCTGCAAGCCTCTTACCAGGTATATTCTACCCAAACCACCATCTGCACGAAGGGGTTCTGTCTGTCCGTCAATCCCTAATGGGACCAGCTGATCATGGCTTAAACTCGGCCAGTTCCAAGAAGAATCCAAGGGCAATTAATTTAACCCTGCATTCATCCCCCTCTCCCTCGTAGTACCATCCCACCATTGTAACCCAGAGAAGCAATTTGCAGCCAAAGCTTGCTGTTTGGGCATAAAATATTACCCAAAGTCCTTGCTATCAGGAGCGTCAGAAGCAAGAATGAGGATGCTAGCAGGGTCATGTTAGAAATCAGTTTTGCAAAAGTTGACGATCTCTATTTAAAAAAAAAAACCTTTGGCGTTTATCTCTGATGAAAATGTTGATTTGTTGGCAATGGTAGAGAACATTGAAAATACAACTAATTATAGACCAGACATCCCTCCCACCCCCCAAAAGCTATGCAAATGAACTCCTCCCCCTGGGGTATTTGCATATACCTTCCCCAAACTGTAGGAAAGCATTAATAAGGGTGGGTTACCAGCGGTGTCCTATAGCCAGCCTGTGTCGGTTCATGACAACCTGTTGTTAATTTTTGGGGAATTTTGCCAGCCAGCCGAAAGTATGGTTGCCCCCCCCACTACAGCTGTAGCATCCATCAGCTGTTTGGCAGCTGGCAATGAAGCACAGTGGGTAGAGCCTCTTGCTAAAGGTTTACCAGCACATCCCTGGTGATAAAGGTAGTTGAATTACAACTGTAATGGAACTTTTGTTGAATTAAGATATCATTTTTCAAGGTTGCATCATCCTTGGTGGACTGTGAGCGTTAATCTCCAAGGTCCAGATCAGCATTGGCAGATTTAACCTGACACTAAAGACTTTGCATGCTTTAAGCTAAGATCTAAATTAAGACCATTAAGGGTCATACAGTTAAGCTGAATAACTCTTGTAAAATTGGAAAAGGAGAATGCCAGGAAGTGCTCTCAGATGGATCCATGGCTCACTCTAAGCCATCATATGGCTTGTTTACAGACAGTGCGGTGATTTGGACCTGAATTTGCCTAGCCCAACGTGTCCACCAAAATCTTAGAAACAGCTTTGTCCAAGCTAATGACCTCCAGATGATCTAAACCAGAGGTGGGGAACTACGGCACCCTTTGTGACTTGTGGACTTGAATTGAATGCTGGCTCAAGAATTCTGGGAGTTGAAGTTCACAGGTCATAAAAGAGCCCTAGTTCCCCACCCCAATCTAAACCATAATCCTCTTCCTAAACAGGACACTTTCGGCTGGAATTATGAGTTTTGTAATCCACTCTGCCCAAAGGACACCAATTTGGAGAAATGTCCACTAGATGCATCCTTCAAAAGATCTTCGTACTCAAATCTTGGGACTGACTTGTTTGGCTATATATCCCTCTTTTAAAGAATCGTTACACATTAGTTCAATTCATATGGCCTTAAACAAACAGAGACACGCACTCAGGTGCTAGCTTTAAATAAACCATCTGCTTTTATTTGACTTTCCTCTGTACAAAAATCAATTTATCCTTGCATTTAAAACCTTTCCTTGCTTATAAATCTACATCTGAGTAAACCAGGTTGAGCTGGTCAGATTCTCTGCTAATTCTCTTTGTCCTTTTGTGGCTTAGGGTTGACCTTTCTCATTTCTTCACAAGAGGGAAGTCACACCTGCAAAAGAAAGGCATGACACGTTAGCCTCAACCTGCAAGACGTTTCTCATAAAAGCGATGGAGTCATACTGGCTGAACAGAGCCCTGGATTGCACCAAAGGATGGACAGGTAACATAAATGGAATTTCTGCCCTGTAAAGCAGAGTTCTAACATTTCAGATCTTTATTTGGAAAACTGAAAAAGGGAGAAAGAAGGAAGGACAATTAAAATCCTGGCTGGTGGTGAACATCTAACTCATTGTTGCTTGGCCATCAGGAGGAGAGGCTGTAGCTCATTGTGAATGTAAGTGGGAGAGAACAGAGGCGGAGAATATATAATATATATATAGGAGCCGTGGTGGCCCAGTGGTTAGAATGCAGTATTGCAGGCTAATTCTGCTGACTGCCAACAGTTCGATCGGCTCAAAATTGACTCAGCCTTCCAAGGTCGGTAAAATGAGGACCCAGATTGTTGGGGGCAATGTGCTGACTCTGTAAACCGCTTAGAGAGGGCTATAAAGCACTGTGAAGCGGTATATAAGTCTAAGTGCTGTTGCTATATATGGAATTCCTGGCAAGGATCATATCAGAGCATTTCAACCTCCACCACAGATCTAAAAATGACCATCTGGTCATTTTAGCTCAATTCATATGGAGATTTTAAAACCACTATGGAGGGAGAGGGGTCTAGGTCACCACAAAAGGTCTCCAGAAGCACAACGGACTTCTAAAAAATTATTAGATGGTCAGGTCCTTGTGATGTCTCCAACGTAGCCAGCAGGGGCCTACCCCCCCCCCACTTGCCCACCCATGCACCTAATTTAAATCCTCCATCAATCTAGCTGCTTCAGGCATCTGAGATGCAGCTCATCAAAGCTGATGCCTTTTCATGAAACGTCTGGGGCAACCAGACTCCTGCAACTTCAAGATGTCTCCTTTCTTCTCCATCAGGGTAACACTCACCACTGGCTTCCTTGCATTGCTTCAAGGCCTCGTTGAAGCCCTCACACAAGGTCAAGTCACTCTGGTTAGTAGCACAATCCAGGAACTGCCTCATCTCATACAGGCAAGGTCCATACTGGGATGGCTGATGGGTTGGTATCTGCCTGGACTCCTGGAGACAGTTAAGGAGAGACGTTCAACCTCCCAAGGTAAGCGCAGATTGTTTGGTCATGTAGATACTCCTCAACCTACGGCCATAACTGAGCCCAAAGTTTACGTTGCTAAGCGAGACGGTTAGTGGGGTTTTTCCCCATCTTATGACCTTTTTGCCACAGCAGTTCTTAAATTAGGAACACAGCTGTTAAGTGAATCCGGCTTCCCCATTGACTTTGCTTGTCAGAAAGTCACAAAAGCGGATTGTGTGACCTTGGGACGCCGCAACAGTCATGAATACCAGTCAGTTGCCAAGCATCTGAATTTTGATCATGGTCGTTAAGTGGGGGGGGAAACGGGTCACAAGTCACTTTTTTTCAGTGCCGTTGTAACTTTGGATGGCCACTAAATGGACTGTTGTAAGTTGAGGACTACCTGGTTTAGATCAGGTCAAATAAGATGGTTATTGGCCATAAGTCACTTCTAGTGTTGTTGTAGCTTCGAACGGTTGTTAAACAAATGGCCATAAATTGAGGACTACCTATTGAGTGTTGTTGTCATTCTTTACATCAGTTCCATGAGTTCCCACCAGGATTTATGGGGCTCCCACCCACGGCAAAAGAGCTTTACCACTCCATCAAGATGGCTCTTGGGCTGAACAGGAAGGACTGGCTCAAGGTCCCCCAAGCACCTTCTCTGAGATGACCCCCCCCCCCCACGGTTCAGGTCCAGCATCTCCACCACAAGAACCACCTCCCAACATCCCTTCCTCCTTTTCTACAATTCTCTCTTTGGGATGATCCCCCCAAAGCAGACTGTCAAGTTCAAAGCATGATTTTGCTCCTCCACTTGCCAACAAACTTGAGGGGGGAGGGGGGAGGGAAATGGAACGTGGACTCCAGAGACCAAGAAGTCAGACTCTGAGAACCAAGGACAGTTCACCAGATGTCTGGCCAAACTCAAGAGACACTTTCTCATAACCATAGTTTAGCACTTAATTGGGCATCGTGACTTGAATTTTTGCCAGAGCTAGTTTTGCTTTCATCGGTGCCGAAACGATGTACTCAATAAAGTTTTGCATTCAAAGATTGGATCGTCTGGAAGGTGCTTGCTTGGTTGGGGTTCGCCAGTCGGAACCGTGACACAGACCTTACAAACGCTACTTGAGGACTTCGCGATGTGTGAAGACCACCCTCCAGGCCTTTGACCCAACTCCATTTTACCCGCGTTGTGGGAACGGGGCCTGGGGTTCGTCCATCTGAGCCTCACCTGGACAGGGCTGCTGGCCACTTTCGCGGGCTGGGAGGAGCTGCTGTCACCACTGAATGCCCCTGTGAGAGCGCCACCGACCACGTGGCCCACGGCAGAGCCAACAGCCACCCCTGCTGCTGTAGTAGCCATCTGGGCCATCAAGCCGGGCTGCTGAGGCGGAGCAGGAGTGCCCATGGCGGAAGGAGGAGGATGAGCAGGAAGTGAAGCATGAGACGCTGCTGGACTGCTAAGAGGGAGAGAAGAAAGGAGAAGGTGAGTTTTTTGTAGCCTTTATTTATTTGTATCCCACTTTGGATTATTTTTACAAATAACTCAAGGAGGGCAAGCATATCCAACAGACGTCCCTCCTATTTACCCCACCACAACCACCCTGTGAGGTGGGCTGAAAGAGAGAGACTGGCCCAAAGTCACCCAGCTGGCTTTCATGGCTAAGGTGGAACTAGAATTCACAGTCGCCTAGTGACTGGCCCAAAGTCACCCAATTGGCTTTCATGCCTAAGGCGAGACTAGAACTCACCATCTCCTGCTGATTGGCCCCAAGTTACCCAATTAGCTTTCATACCTAAGGCGGTACTAGAATTCACAGTCTCCTGGTGATTGGCCCCAAGTCTCCCAACCGGCTTTCACGCCTAAGGCAGGATTAGAATTCACCATCTCCTGCTAATTGGTCCCAAGTCACCCAATCAGCTTTCATGCCTAAGTTGGGACTAGAATTCCCAGACTCCTGCTTTCTAACCTTGTGCCTCAACCCCTCGCTGTTTACAGGAAGGAGAAGGGCAGGAATGACGTTGTAGAAGCTTCCATCATCTCCCATCCAAAGTGAAGGAAACCCATATCCTTTCAGGCTGCCTGGACTATATAGCCCATTATCCCCAACCAGCATGACCCCCCCGGGAAAAGCTTCTGGAGGGACACAGATGTCTCATCCCACGCCCTGCATTTCTGTGAGTTTCTCTTAATCAGGGTTTAATCCGGGTTGTTTTCTACCCCAGCTTTAGTCCTTGACTTACAACAATTGATTTAGGGACCACTTGAGGTCACAACAGCACTGAAAAACTCTTGACTCACAAACCGGTCCTAGCCCTTATGAATGTCCTAGCATCCCCATGGTCACGTGATCCAAATTCCGGGCACTTGGAAACCCTGTATTGACGACGGTTCCAGCATCCCAGGATCACGTGATCGCCACTCGTGATCTTCCCAGCCAGCGAAGTCAAAGGGGGAAGCTGGGTTAGCATAACAGCGGTGTCTTCCATTTAACAACTGGCATGGCTCACTTAACCGCCTTGCTTAGCAACAGAAATTCGTAAGTCGTAGGTCGAGAACTTCCTGCATTTATTGGGTTTCTCTCCTGCTTTCCATTCAGGAGCTCAAAGCAACATACCCAGCCCTGTTTCCACCCACTTGTCCCCCCAAAACAGCAGCCCTGGGAAGTAAATTGAGCTGAGACTTAAGTCCCCCCAGGCAGATTCCTCCGTGGCTGAGCAGAGACTAAAATCTCCTGGATCAGCCTCTTTCCCCCACGTGGCTCTTGGTTTGTCGGCTTAGATCCAGTTTCTCATCTGACCTCTCCTCTCGATTGCTTTTTAGCTGAATCATCCAGAAGGCAGCAAGTCTGGACCAGCAAATCTCCATTTCGATTAACTCATAATCCCCAAGGTCACCTGCTTAATATAGGTATGTATGTACAGTATGTATACAGACTGTGCATATGTGTGTTATGTATGTGTAGGGGTAGATATATACCTTGAAATAATAGAAAATGCTTGTGGCTCGGGTTTCAGATTTTTGGCAGTGGTTTGCTCTCCGAGCTTGTTTCAATTTATTTTCTGAACGTTTCGTTACCAATTTGGTAGCCTCATCAGGATTTTCTTGCCCTATTTTCCTTAGCTTATAAATGTCTTTTGTGATATATAGAGAGAGATATGGAGATATATCTTTTCATCCAAGACTTTGCAATTTGACAATCCTCTCTCAGATCTTTGGCTGCCCACATGTTAAGGCTTGGCTTTTTCTTCCCACAATGAGTGTGTGGCACCCACGCACGTACACGCGCGCGCGCGCGCACACACACACACACACACACGCAAAAAGGATTTTAAATAAGACTGGCAGCTCTAAGCTGATCTGTCTGCTTGGAAGCGTCTTTGGGGAGCTTTAAGTAGACTTTGCCGCCTTATTTTTGTCACTAAGAATTGAAACCCACCCGTGGCCTTTTAAATACACCCAACCCCTCCCCTCCCCAAGACGGGGCTCCTGAGCATGCACAGAGCGCTTTTCCTGCCTTCTGACCTTGGAAGAGGAGTCGTTGGGCTTCTATCCATGGGGGGGGGGGGAGAGGCGAAAGAGTACTAGGAGCAAAACTCTTGTCCAGTACTCCCAA